GTAGAGGGCCGGTGGCTGTAGAGGGCCGGTGGCTGTAGAGGGCCGGTGGCTGTAGAGGGTCGGTGGCTGTAGAGGGCCGGTGGTTGTAGAGGGCCGGTGGTTGTAGAGGGCCGGTGGTTGTTAGAGGTCTGTGGTAGTCGAGGGACGTCCTTTTAGAGACCGGTAGATGTAAAAGCCGGTAGATGTAAAAGCCGGTAGATGTAAAAGCTGGTAGATGTAAGTGACTATAGAGACCGGTGCCTGAGGAAGCGTGGCGGTGGAAGTGACAGTGAAGGCGGTATTTTTAATGGCAGTCTACAGAGGCGGCGGCGGCGGTGGAATCGCTTGCTGTGCGAAGGCGGTAGTTGTGAAGGCGTTGTTTGCGGAGGCGGTGGCTGCGGCGGCGGTGTTTGTGGAGGCAGTGGACGTGTAGGCGATGGTTGTGCAGGCGGTGTTGGCGGCGAGGGCAGCGGTGGCGGAGGCGGAGGCGGCGCCGTGCGTAAAAAGCGACCCGCTACGCTGTGTACGCGAGCTCGTCGGCCGAGTTGTATCCGGCGCGAGGGGGTGTGGGAGGGGGCAGCTCGCGGAGCGGTGACCGGCAGGTGGACGGCGATGAGTCAGTGTGTGCTGCGTTGGAGGAAGGGGAATATGAGATAACTCAATATTTATTTTACTGCTTGTGAATACAACTCGAGACATGTGGTGGCATTGGCTTAGCCGCCACCGTTCTTGAAATTTCCTTTCCTGGTCACCCAGTGCATCTCAAAGTTATGAAATTTTGTTACGCATATTGGCCACCTGAGTTTCTCACAACAGCAGTATCAGTCAGTTGCTGATAGATCGACATGGGATGTGATTACAGATAGAATTGTCAGAGGAATGAGTTTGTTGGATATTCAGAGGGTTCTCTTACGTGTTGCAGATACCATTTTATTTTTCTTCGTCTTTTTATTCCCCTGAGACATGCTAAGGAAAATTAGGGACAGTAATTGACAGTGCGTAATTTAATACCACAAATGTCAAATTTTACGTTCGTGACTTTGAAGCAGTGACATTGCTGAATATAGAGTTGGTAGGAACAGTGTAGGAATTGAAGAAAAATGCAGGAATACAGATATTTTCCACATAAACATCATTTACTTCTTCTTCTTCTTCTTCTTCTTCTTCTTCTTCTTCTTCTTCTTCAATTTTGAGTCTATTTTTAAAGCGGAAGGCACAACTTGTAAATAAAGTGTGGGGTATCAATGGCCTTGTTACAAAAGATACACCCAGTGCTTAGAAGCCAATGAAGGCGCCAACTCACCATTCGCTACACGTATGAAGACGATATGAATTTAAAATAATGATTCATTATTGAAATTCAAGTATTACATTTGATTACACCAAAATGCATGAGGCATGATTCATCATTAACAATGCTCTTTAAATGGAATGAATCATTTGCGCTCTTCACTCCGTTTGGATGCGATTGGAATACTCTTCATTTCACTTGTTTTCATAGTCGGCAAATGATGTTTGCGGTAGGTTTTTGCGGGAAAATGTTTCCGAATTTTAGACATTTCCTAAAACAATCATCACAATAATTAATTTATCCAATCACTAATTCACATAATTATGTGATGTGTGTGTAAAAGTTGACAAAATTCGTAAATATTGCGGCTAGCTATGAGAGAAAAAAGAGAGTGCTTGGAGTTGGAGAAGTGGAGCGTGGCATGGAATTCAAATTAGGAAAAAACGCAAAGTTGGGCGTTGACATTAGAAACTAAATGAAATAGTATCTTTGAGGTATTCCAAATGAATTATGAGTCACAAAAATGTTCCATTGATCCATTTGCTTCGGCAGTGCATCAGAAAAACAAACACTCGTTTACAGTACTGATACATTTACGGATGTGCCTTTGATCTAAAAACATAAGTAAAAATATCAATATTCACTCTCAAGCCCGCAAATAACTCTCATTTTGTGACTTCTGTCACCCTCCCCGAAGATATCCCAATACTGGCAGCCGGCTGCACTGATCGGTAGCTTTCCGTGGTTTCTCTGATCAACACCAGACGAATACCAGAGCAGTAACCTAACAAACGGCCACAGACCGCACGCGATGTTTTCTTCTCCTTCCTTTTCCTATCCTCCCCCCTTACTTTTTACTTACACAAATTTACACTTAAACCCAGTACGCTACCACACACGTCGATATACCGGTCGGGAGCTTAGCGCGTGTCCCGGGGTGGGCAGTGCCCCGCTGGTAGGAGATACCTGGTTGGGGAGACCTCCGGAAGGCGACGAGAAGGTCGGCGACGGATGTCTCCATCCAGTTAGAATATATCACCGCCACTACTGCCGTGATAACAAACATGCACTACACATACAGGACCGATGACCTTGGCAGTGGACGCGCTGTGCGTCACCAATCAATCAATTCATCAAGACAGCCCAATTGCTTCACGTGCGCAGAGACAACTCCCCCCCCCCCGCTTGGCGCAAGAGGCGTGCGTGGGCGGCCGCGCAGCGCTGCGTTGCGCAACCTCATCGCACGGGGAATGCAGTCTGCCTCCAGCGGCGCTGGGCTCGCCCGCTCACCACGAGACCCCGGGCGCAGCTAGGCAGCGCCCCGGGACGGACCAGATCCGGTGGCTGGAGCATCAATTGATGCCCTAGGGTTAGAGGTCCAGGTCCGAGGGTTAGGGTACCCACGGTGACGGGGTTTTCGCCTCGAAATACATAGGCTAGGTCCAATTCAGACTGTGGGAGAGTTCTAGCGGCCGGCGGTCGTCTATTGGTCAGTAGTTTTACGTGGTTTCTCCGATCAACACCAGACGATTGCCGGTGCAATATCCTACCAAACCGGCCATGGGCAGCACGCGATCTTTCCGTCCTCTTCCTTATCCTTTTCTCAACCCTTACTTCCATACACTACTCTAATACACATGCTGGGACCGTAGGGAGCGTAGTGCTTTTCGGCTTGCACAGCCTTGGTCTGGTGGGAGATACCTGGTTGGGATAAACCTCGCAAGCGAACTGGTAGATCTGCGCCGCATCTTGCCATTCATCCGAGGGAAGATCATGGGACGAAAGGCCTGGACAGATGACGCGCCCGGAATCACTAATCGAGCTCTAGGATGGGCGCGTCGCCTGGGGTGGACACTGAAAGGATTTCAGGGGGGACGCCTCCAGGATGAATAATTTTGAAAATTTCGAAAACGGTCCCCCAGGTGTCCCATAAATAGCGTAGGAAGATTTTAGGGGTGGAAGTGGCTCCCGAGCCCATCTTACCTCGTAGATTCGTTCCTAGGTGGAGGAGACTGTGACCAACAATCACGGAATTTATGCCACTGCCGACTGGTGTCAGAAGCAGCAAACTTGGTATTAGCTCTAAGCGAAAGATTTCAAAGCAATTTCAAGACTTTTGCTGATCAAATGGAATATTTTTCAGTCCTTCTGTGAAAGTGTGCAGTCCTTAATCCTTGCAAGACGTGTGACAGTACATGGTGCGAGTCCGGCCGGCCAAGATCGCTAAACCAGGAGTAGGGGGCAAGGATAAGGAAGGGCTGCAATTTCGAAGACTGTTCAGGCCGGGATATTAACATTGACGTTATGGCGTAATAGGGACTCGAGCTCGCGAAAAACACCTGCCTAACCTCATCTCATCATATTGTTTCACGCCTGCTTGGATGGCAGAGTGGCAAGGTATGGGTATGGATATGTGTGTGTGTGTGTGTGTGTGACATACGTGCTTTGCATCTGATCCGCACTATTCTCTAAGTGGCTGTGTCTCCCATGCATGTGGCTTAATGGAAACAATTAGCGATCTATGTGTACCCTATTCTAATTCTGGACCAAGATGATAGGAATACTCGGTTCACAGCTGAAAGATAAAGCTAGAATATATTGAGAATCAGGGTCCGCTGACCACATCAGATGATAGAATGGAGTGGGTGACATGATAGGTATCATGGTGTCCATCTGGAAACCATGAGTAAATGACTAATTAAACCGTGGTTACCTACAAATCAGTTTGGTAAAAAAAGTAAAACAGGCGTACAAACACTACTACATATCAATTTATGCAATATTAAATCCAACTTTTTTTATTCGAATTAAAACCTTGCGCTGATACTCCAATTCATTTTATTTGCATATTGTTGAATATGATAGAAGCAACCACAAATGAATATCCCCATGAAGAGAAATCAGATCCATTGTTCGTTGCTTCCGAGAATTTGGAAAGGCCCGGCCGGGCAGAGCACCCGCCAGCCTCGCGATGTTGGCAACACTGTCTCCAAAT